TCTACTAAGAACTTAAAATGTTCCAGGGACCAGGATGGGGTTTACATGCTTTATCTCATTTAATCCTAACAAAAATTCTCTGAGAAAGGTACTATTGTAATCCTTTTTATGGATGAGGCCTGGGATACAAACAGTGTAAAGATACGTCAGACTACCTACCCTCATGGTGCTTATTTAGTGGATAAATGGGAGAAACTGTCAACGTAATAATTTTTTTCCCTGTGGCAGATGGTGATATGCTGTAAGAAAAAAAAGTAAAGCAAGGGAGAGGGAGTTCAAGGGGGAGGGTTGCGTATGAGGCAATTTGGGTAAAGCTTCATTAAGATTTTGAGACATTTGAGCAAAGGTTGGAAAGAGACGAGGAGGAGATACATGAGGACAGCTGGGGAAAGAGAATTTATGTTGGAGAAAATAGTCCTGTGCAAAAGCCCCAAGTAGGGGCATGACTGCAATGTTTGAGGAATTGCCAGGTCAGGGAAGGGCGTGGAGCTGGCCAGTGTGGCCGAGTCACAGCCTGCAAAGAACAGAATGGTAAGAGATCAAAGCCAAAGAAATAATAGGACATTGGAGCCCACATAATGCAGGAGCTCTGTGACTCATTAAGGACTTTGGCATTTATTCTGAATGAGTTTGGAAGTTAGCTGAGGGTTTTGAGCAGAGGTGTGAATGATCTGACAAAATGTAAAAGGCTCCCTCTTATGTGTTAAGAACAGACTGCAGGGAGACAGAGACAAAAATAGGATAAGAGTTAAGCTATTGCAATCATCCAGAAGAGAACTGGTGATAGCTTGGACTACGGTGGTAAGAGTGAAGGTGGTGAGAGGTGGTTGGATTCTTGATGCATTTGGAAGGTGGAACTAAAAGAATTTGCTAATCAAGGCTCCACAACTTACTATTTGGCCTTAAGCAAACTACTTAATTTCTTAGAGCCTTAATATTCTTTCCTTAAAATATGGGCCAATATGTCTACTCCAGTGAGCAGACTGTGAGAATTAAGTGAAAAAAATACATGTGATGTGCTTGGCATAATGATTAGGACACAATGGACACCTAATAAACACTATTTCTTCTCCTCTCTCTTGTCTCCTGTCTTTATCCATGGGCTTTTACTTTCATCACTTCATTCGGTCTTAAAAAATGTACTCTAAGGTAACACGGCAAACATTATTATCTTTAATTTATAAGTGAAGACATGTAATACCATTAATCTAAATGTTTTAGATGAAACTGCAGCAAAAGTTAAAATATCTCTGGACTTAACTTCTATTACAGTGTACCTTCAAGTGTAGAGTGAAGCTTCTTACATGTTGATGTTTGAATCCTTCCACACATCTCATGTCTCATAAGAAGGAAAATTCACCCTACTTTTGGTGGCTTTTAAAAGTGTGCTCTCCAAATTTTAATTTTAAAGGTTTCTTTTAAAGAAACATATGCTATCCCAGCTGTCTACATCTAATAAAGCAGCCACTGACATAAGGGGAAAAAAAGGAATGGAATATAACATTTCAAGGGTTCTTCAGATACACTGCAGACTTTTGAACAAAGTGAATGCAGTTAAATAAGGTTGACATGCAAGTGTAGGGATTGTGGAAGAGTGAAACTCCCTATAATGCACATAGAATCCCAGACTTTCAAAGCCAATACTGTTTATTACACATACATTATTAGCAACAACAGCAAAAAATCACAGGTTATTAAACAAAAACAAAATGCTGGATGTTTCTACTATTGATGTATTTAAAATCATGACATGTTTATCTGTAGGATGTTTATGTAAAACTTCATTATAGTATTTATAACGTTTCTCTAACTCATAGCACTATGCAAATAATTATACAGAGAAGTCAGTGCATATCTCCACGTGTTTTACTTTCTCATGGTCAGAACAAGAAGTGCTGCAACAGTTTATGGATACTGTTTAAAAAGTTTTTAAACTCACAATAGAGAAAAACAGTTTTAAACAAAGGAAAAAAGCATTATACTTACTAATAAATAATACTGCAATTTCAAGTTGAGTCAATAATTTAAATAAAATTATTTTTCATATGATTGGTAGTGAGAGTTGATATTTTATGGTATTCATTGCATGATTTATTTTTCAAAGTCAATTTGGTTTTGGACACAGATCATTCTAATCTCACTTTGCTCTCAAGAGGGCAATAGTAATAGGACAGCCATGGTCCAAAAGTAAAAATGAGGGCTCCCCAAGCTGCCATCCCCCTCTGGATAAGTCTCCCCTTCACCAAAAGTGTCCAAACAAACACCTACAGGAAAGATAGTTATGGAAGTCCAAAGTGGGCGTCACAGTCAGAGTCACTGGGGGAGCTTATGAAACATGCAGAAATCCCATACCACGTGCAAACTTTCCCAAATGAGAATTTCCATGGCAGGACCCAGAAACCCTACTTAACGAGAACTCCAGATGATATTTTCATATACTGAAGTTTGAGAACCACAAATTCTAACTTTAGAAATAACATGAATAAGTTACTGAGCCTCACTGATCCTTAGTTTCTTTATCTGTAAATTGGGGATAATTATATTCACCTCATTCAATCATTGTGAAGATTAAATTAGATAAAATCAAGACAATACATGTAAAGCATGTGATGTTTTGTACTATTTTTGATCATTGTTGACCTAGGGTTCAACCAGTTTTCTGGGCTGGTTCAATGGAAAAGCAAAGGATTTGAGGATATTTTCAAGAAAGCAGTTCAAGTAATAGATCGTGAAATTTAAACATATTACTGATTAACGTGAAGCCAGAAAAGACTTGGCAGAGTGAAAGAAAAATGAGTTTTGGAGGGTCTGAGAGTCTCAAAGAAGTCAAAGAAAAATGTGTAGTGAGCCTACATGGAGAGTTGGCAGGATGGAGAGTGGAGAAGGAAGTGTGTTCCCTTTCCTCTAATTTCTGGAATGGAAGTGTGTGTGTGTGTGTGTGTGTGTGTGTGTGTGTCTGTAATAGTTTGAAATGTGATAACATTATCAAAAGTACATGATATCAACTACAAAAGTTGTGAAATATATGACACAGGATAATTTGATATGGGACAATTTAAAACCCTCAAGACAAAATCAAAAGCTCATTTTGACTACATCCAAAGAATCGGTTCCTCTCACTCTTTATGACCATAAGGGGTTAGAGAACAGAATAAGAGAAGAAAGTTGCCAAAGTACAGGAGGTGAAAATTTAAGATTTCATTGGCCTGGTGGCTCTCAATTACGGCAAGTCTGAGGATATGACAACAAATTAAGTGACTAGGTGGGGTTGAAGGACAATGGGGTTGAGGCCAAGAGCCCATGAAATAGGGACTGGTGCATGGTTTCTAACCTGGCTAGGAAGATGGCAGGGTTTGGGGTGGAAAGGAAGATTGTGATCTAGAGGCAGTAAATGATCAGTGGAAGATGGACAGCATACAGGAGGCTGATGGATGAAGAGAAAGTGTATGGTGGCTACCATCATGCTGTGCACCTCGTTTACATTAGGTTGGAAGAGTAATGGTTTCTGAGTGAGGCAGCATCATGGAGCTGGGAGCTGTGTCTCCCACCCCAACCCCAGTTCCCATGGGCATGTGAGAGTAAGCAGTGCGTGCTCAGGCAGCTTCAAAAGACGCCAAGTTCCTCGAGGGAGCACCAGATTTCAGGAGGACAGAAGGCTCTGTCTGAGAAAACGCTGGGAATGCTGGGAAAGCTGCTCACCATGGCGGGGTCCACTGGGCTTCCTATGTGTGCTCCTAGGGCCCACAAACAGGATCTCGCTCTCAAAAGGGACTCTGCACTCTGGATATCACCTTGAAATTCTTCTCAATTGTATTCCTGAATTTGTGTTTTGCAAGTGAAATCTGATCTGGTGGGATGATGGAGAATGCATAGGGGGCTTAGAACCTCAGCTCACCTGTTATCTTGCCTCCCTGGGCAAGACCTCAGCCACCTGCTCCCCCGGCTCCCACCCCATTGTCCAGTGATGCTGCCACCTCCAGGGGACCTAGCCAGGGGCTTGTGGAGGGATGGGGATTAGCAATACAAGCCCCACACTCAGACTTGTGCTGGGCTCCTGGGCAAGTCTATACTCACCCCTCGCCTGAGGGAGCTTGACACAGAATGATAATAATAAAACCCACCAGAATGGGTTTAGAGAGAGATCACAAAAGAAAGGAAAAAATAGGTTTTTTCCCCTTGTTTTTTTGCACAAGGAGACCTACATTTTCATTTGCACTGGGTCCTGCGAATTATGTAGCAGGTCCTGACTGGAGGTTTCCAAACGTAACGGGAAAGATGATAGGAGAGCAATAGTGAGTAGAGGGATTGGTGAGAAGGGGCATCAGTGAGACCTTAGGGGAGGAGGAGGATGGATTGATTAAACTGAGACAACAGGGGATGGTGGACGTTGTATTTTGAGCAGTGGCTGAGGAACAGAAAGACATGGAAGTTACCCTGTCACATATCTAAATGGAACTCTAGGACAAGTCTAATGTAAGTGGACTGAACTCTAATGCTCAGCTTTATTGCTGATGACTTCCACTCAGGGTACCAAACAGAAAGTTGAGAGGTTCTTACAAGCTCGTTCAATAAATCCTTTCCCAGGGGTCATTTAGCTAGCGAAACTGCACTTCATATTGGAAACAGCTCCTCTCGTGGAATATAACAGTAAACTCATGGTATGTGTGGACACGTAGAGGCCAGTGGGCAGGTAGAGGCAGTGGGGACAGAATTTGGGTCTCATTGTAAAGAGCTGGATACAACCCAAACCACTGAGCTTACAGAGGAAAAAAGAACAGGCTTTGAGTGCTTAAAAAAATCCCCAATTTTTAACTCTGATTACAGACCTTAATTTCTTTGAAGTTAATCTTTAAAATGGGGATAGTGATAATTCCTGCTTTCTGACTGCTCAGGATTGTTTAAGCATTAAAGTATTTAATAAATGTGAAATTGCCTTGCAAACAGCTACATAAATATTAATCGGTACTTTAATTCTATATTCTTTTCTTTTTCTTTTGAAGGATTATGGGATACTTCAAATTACTCTGTAACAGCATTTAGGAGAGAGATGCTGGAGTCATGCTTCATCATTGCAGGCCCTATGTCTCTTGAAGGTTAAACCTCTCGATGACGAAATGAAAAATTTGAACACAAACCAAGCAAAAACAAAAGGTAAGTTCCAAATCAGATGAAAGCTAAGTTTATATATATATGAATGTCAATTGTGAATGAGTGACTGTCCTAGAAGATATATATCAGGGTAAAAAGAATGTGGGAAGAGAAAAAAAGGTTGTATCTTTGTGAATTTTAGAATATTTTTCACTCCATATCATGTTCTTACATCTAAGTAGTCTGTCTTTTTCTGTGTTATTCTCTCTCTCTCTTTTTTAATATAGTATGGAAGAGTCTAAAATGCAAGGGGGCTTAGCCCTACTTACTCACCTTCTCTCACTCACCAGTGGTATACCCACAAAAGAGCAACTGTGGACAGTGTAAAAGAAAAAAATAAATTTACCAATCTAAAGAGATCGATGAAAATTTCATTAAATAATAATGTCAGGATTTTAGAAAAGGAGTTTTAGACAGTTCAGAAACTAAAATTTGAGTAAGATGCTTCAGTCACCACCTTAGTTAATTAAAACCCCAGCTTAATTCAAACTAATGTTTTTGAAACATCTTTTCTCAAACATACATTTAAAATTTAAAGTAGATAACATTCATCTCTTCAATCTATTGAGATTTTGGAGACAAAATTCAAAATCATATTGTGTCCCCAAATTGTATCTTCTTTTTCTCCCGGTGGAGATGAAAATAGCAACTAGATTCGGGTATAAATATTAGGTGCTGATACCAGCTCAGTTCTTTTAGGTGCAGGTGCAGGCAACGCTTCTTTGAAAAGATCACCACCTAGGGGAAATTATAAGTCAAAGCAACATCTGCAATGCACCACACATGCTGCATAATACCTGGTGACATACTTAAGAATAAAAACATGTAAAATGTTCTCATATTTCAGTAAATGAGGTGGACCACCTACAAAACCCATACTAACTTGTGGCCCTAGAATATTTGTTTGTGTCTAATTTTATGTTTATCTGTAAGTAACATTAGAACTGCATATAGGTTTGCTTATGCATTAGGGCTTGACTTCTAATTTTTTCCTCAATATCTAGAAATACTTTTAGAAAATAGGTATCCTAACATTTGATTACATTGGGGGCAAATTCTTCAACTTAAAATTAAAAATGAGGAGGAATTTTAATTAGGACCCTGAAAATGTTTGAGCCTAACATGTCAAAGATTTCTATGTCAATTTAGTCTTAGAAATTAACAAAAACATTTTCTCCTTAAACTCATTTGCTTCTGAGCATTTCTGCCTAAGTCCCAAATCAGAACAAGTAGAGTGAGAGATAATTTAGTTGGTTGATTCAGGTAAATATAGGCTATTTTTCTTTGCTTCAATTTCTGTTTTTGAATCACTGCATTTTCTGAAAGCAATTCAACATGAAATATGATCCATGTGGTCATCTTTATAATCTTTGTAATCTTTATATTCAAATAACGGAACTTGAAAGCAAAAAATCTTCAAGGTAGTTTTGAATGGATGATTTAGCAGCCGTGAGAAATTTATGTCCTGTTTAAAGAAAAAAAAAAAACTGCTACCTTCAAAAGTTAACTCTCTCAAAAAAAAAACCTCTTCAAAGTAATTTCGAATTAAATCACATGTTCTGAAGATAACTTTTTGTTAATTAGATGCCTCAGGATTGTGAATTTTTAATGCATCAAGTATTATCAAATAGGCGAAAATATAAACAGGGAGAAAACAACTTTATGGATTATTTGAAGAAGTTTTACTGTCCTGTGTTTACCTTCATTACTGTTTAGTGACTGGCTATTAACTCCTCAATCTTCCCCATTAAATGGTAAGATCCTTGGAGGCAGGGACTCTGTTTTGTATGCAGTCATTTCCAGGGTGTTATTGAGCCAGTGTCTGTTCTGATTAATTGGTACCCATAGTAAATACCAGTGGTTAAATATTTTGAATATAACCCATACATGTATCTATACCACTTAGAATGTATATAGTGCCTGACATTTAGGAGGGATACAAAGCATAATGGGTGAGTGAATGGCCTCCAAAACTGGACCTACCCACTGCTTTGTGTATGTTTACCGAATGTACCACTTTCCCACAAAAAAATAGAAGAACATAATTAAGAAGTGAGTCTACTGTAGAAGGCATAATTAACATTTGTAAAGGCAAAGGCAAATATAAATTATTCTCATCCCTTTTTTAGGTTATCACTAGACTAAGCATCTTTATAGGTGATCAAAAGATAATGGTCACCAAAGGGAACTATTTTATCATACAAAATTGTATTTATATGTAAACATGTATAATCATATAATGATACGTATATATATAAATAATCACATAATTATATATATATACGCAAATAAATATAATCTTAGGAAGGAGTAGTAACTTTGGTAATAGAATAGAAAAGATTCTTAAATATATTAAGATGGATTATAAATTTATCTACCTAGATAACTAAACTTGACATTTGATCACTGCCTAGTAAAATTATTTAAATTACTTGGCAGTTCACATGTAACACCCCTAAGATATGTTAAATCCATCTAGCACTGATTAACTTCTGTCTGCAGAGTAGATGTGTTATGAGTCTAAACTTTATTGTGCTATATTTTTTTTGTAAAAATGGCTAATAGTAATGAACACCCTAAATGCTGAAAAATTCTGCATTCTAAAACATACTTGACTTCCAAGATTTTATCCAAATCCTGTGGCTCTGTCTTGTATATGTAATCTAGACCAATCAGCTTTCTCCTCCTATCCTTCAACAATGCATCACCACATTTGAATCCCCATCAGATCTTATTCTCTTCTACTCCCTATGGTCTCTCTTTCCCTCAAAGCAACAACTTTACCAAACTGAATAAACAAATCCATACTAATATACTAATATATTCACCAGGAATTATTAATTGCCAACTCTCTCCTGATATATACAGAATCTAATAATTGACTTATAAGGATAAAATTTGTCTTAAGCTAAAGGAGTGGCGACGCTTAAGGTGAGATGTTTAAGCTAGAGGGAATATGAATATGCCAGTGACCAGTAGAAACTATTTTAAATAAAATAGAGTTTTAAAGTACAATGAGATGTAAACACCCTGTCTTTTGCCTATGCTTATGGCTGGGTCTGTTGGTAATCTTAGGGACGTAGGACTTGTAATACCTTACATGACATTATTCCTAGATAAATTCTTATTTCTTTTTATGTTTCATCCACATCTCCTATTTAGATTCTTACTCTAATTCCTGATACTTTCCTTATGGCGAAACTTTCTCAGCTTTTACACTTGGATTCTTCATTAGACCCAGATGCTTTCAACTGACTTCCTGATATTGGTGACTGCTTTTACTTTTTATACTGTATTTAATTTTTTCCCCTAACTGTGACTGCCATGTGTCAGCCCTTAGGCTCTTCTCCTGCCAGTAGCTAGCAACTTTTCATTTCCACCCACTTCCATTAGTGACAGCTGATTCCTAATTTAGAGAATTAAGAATTCTGCAATAAGAGTGAGTTTTATACTTTCACCTTAGAAGAAAGAGGAAAGGGGCCAGGAAACCTCTCTAATGATGTGAATATTCCAGCAGTTTTGCACTCTGCTTCTTTTCTCTCTTTGAAATCTCTTATCTCATAAGTAATTTATCACAGAACATTTGGACATCAATTACTGAGACTCAGCATTTTTCCAGGACTGTATTACAATATGCAGTATGACTGCAAAAATTTGACTTGGAATATTGACTCAGAACTATATACTTGAATAATCTGAACTGAATTTAAAATTTCATCATACTCCCATCCATTTCACAGAGCAGAGTTAATGATATAAGGAAACAGACTGTGTGGCTTCCAGCCTCTGTCACCTATTAGCTGTGTGACTTTAGGTAAGTTGCTCAGTAGCTGTTAGCATCAGCTTTCTCATTGGTAAACTATGCACATGTGCTTAGCCCAGGCCCTGGTAAAGGGTAAGTGCTCAGCAAATGCTAGTTTAAACATGGAATAAAATGTGTTGGCTGTTTTCAATTTCCAAGCCAGGTACTTTAAACTGTAGAATACATTTAAAGTTTATTATAATGTGCACCTAAGAGGAGAATCGTTGTTGTGGGCATTATCAAGGAGGTTCATACTCATGAATCTGTGGCCCAGCAAGTCAGAGCCAAGAGCTTCCCTATTACATCAAAGGATTTTGTGTTCTGTTCCTATAAGGATCTGTCTGTCCATGAGGACCAGTCTGTTGTATAACAGAGAATTCAGGCTGCAAGAGATGTGGTCGGGTACCTGCTACTCTAACAGCTCCTTCCTTGCTCACCCTTCTTTATGCTTTCCTACTGAAAGTGGTTTTAGTACACACATCATGAATAAGTCACTATGCTTCCCTGTTAGAGCTACCTGATAATCATAGTTCATTGCATATGATTTAGTTATACCTATTTTTTCATAATATCAAAAATGTTTATTGAGGGCTTCTTATATGCAAGACTCTGCACTGGAAGTAGAAAATCAGTTCCTTGCCCTCTAGGATTTTCTAGACAGAAAAGAGCCACAGTCAACTAACTATAATTGTAAAAGGATAATGGAATTATTAACGGAGTGAGTGTGAAGGAAGTACAAAGCAGGAGTACCTACTCTGGGACAGTTGATGAATGCATTCTTAAGAAAGTTGTAAATGTGGAAACTAACTGTCTAAGGCAGAGCCAGTCCTTAGCACTGATTTATGCTTCCAATAGAAGTGGTTAAGCAGCTGGAAAGAGCTGGAAATAGGGCAGTAATACAAATACAAATTATACCAGACCAACAAATAAACAGGTTTGTCTCTTTCCTTAACAAATTGTGCTCTAATAAGTGGCTGTGATCATTAATAAATTGAATGATGCTCAAGTCCTAGGAGGTAATTGAGTTGCACAAGTCTTGCATTTAAAACTAGGCCAAGGGACATATACCCTCATTTTATTTATCAGGATTAAGATATTAAGTTTTATTTAGTTCAGGAATTTGGATTTAAAATGTAAACATATAAATTCCAGATTTGTTCATTTTCTTCTCTGTTGTCAGTATTAAAAGCAAGACAGATAT